ACCTCCCTGACTCCAGGGTTCACTTTAACTCAGGCTATTAGGGATCATCTTCTGGGTCATTTAGATGCCATCAAGTCTCAAACCAAAGGAGTGAGGTCAGAAAAGGCAAGAGTGTCCTATCCTGCCTAATATCCATCTTTGAGTTCCCAATTTTGGAGGATTGAATGTGGAATGATCATTAATTCATTCATTCAATGAATTTCTATCAAGTACCTACTATGCTAGGGGATGGAATAATATGGTGAACAAATGGACATAGTACTCTCCCCTCAAAGCTCCTACCTGTCCATAGTACTTGCCTTAACCCAAACTCCATGGCCTATAGCCATATTTTAATTTCTTTCTTTTTTTTTTTAAGATTTTATTTATTTATTCATGAGAGACACAGAGGCAGAGACACAGGCTGAGGGAGAATCAGGTTCCCTGTGGGGAGCCCGATGCAGGACTCAATCCCAGGACCCCGGGATCACGACCTGAACCAAAGGCAGATACTCAACCACTGAACCACCCAGGTGCCCCCCATCTTTCAATTTCAATACAGAAACCTCAGCTTTGAAATAGAGACATAGAGTAGCAAAAAGGGCATGACAGATTCCTGACCATTTTCCGACATTTGATCCAAAGAGATCTGGGGCTGGGGCCCCTGAAGGGGATGGTGCTAAGGAAAGGGTTATTAGGAGACAGGAAGGAGGAACTTTATGTTCTTCCACACTGTGTGGCCCCCAAGGGCAGAAAATGACAGAGCAGGCATATGGTCAGATTATTCACTTTTGACCCTCATACTAATAGAGTTCAGCAATCTGTAGCTTGGCAACTCTCCTGGCTTATCATGCTCTGTGCTCTCATTCTCCCCTCTGCAGATATGAAAAGCCCCTCTTCACAGAGCTGAGTTGTCAGCAGCCCAGCTAACCCAAGGCCTCTTTTTCCACTGCTTCCTCAGTACTTGGCTGAGTGCAAGAATCTTACAAATCTGCTTTACAAATGGAAAACCACCTTGTGGCCACAGGTCCAGGTCTGTTCCCAAGCTGCGGTGTCACCTTTAAGCTCCATGCGATTTGGCAAGAAAATCAATAGGAATCCCAGGTGATTATCATGTCATGGAAAAGCTAAATTTCGGACCCAGGAAAGATGCAGCTTACTGGCAAGCTAGAGACTGAAGTTAGATGCCTATTTGGGAAATAAAACTTTGCTCCACATGAACATTAGTAATAGCAGGCTATGTTCCTCTTACACCATGGAGCTGGCAAGCGTGTAAGAGACAGGTGGGGCAATAGATGGAGAGGTATTGAAACATAGTGCTATTCAAAGAGTAGTCCATGAACCTGCAGCGTCAGTATGACTTGGGAGCTTGTTAAAAACACAAATTTGCAGGCCTCAGCCCAGTTCCACCAAATTAGATTCCTGGGGGTGGAGATAGGGGTGAGGGCAGGAGACTATCTTTTTTAACTTCTCCAGGTGATTCATATGCACAGGTAAGCTGAAAAGTACTGCTATCACACTATGCACACTTGATGGGCTAATATGATTACTGCAGAAAAATCATAATCACAGCAGATTTCATTCTTTGACTATCTACTATGTGCCGGGCTCTTTTAAATTTTGAACTGAGTTTAAATACACATAGAGCATTTACACTTAACTCACAACAACCCTATGAGATACTCTTATTATCCCAAGTTATTACAGATGAAACTATAGTTAAGATACTTGCCTAATCACTTAACTTTTCCAAGGCTGTTTCCTTGTCTGTAGGCTGGGTACAATAATGCCTTGTTTTCTTGGTTGTTGTGAGGATTAGAGACAATTATAGGGAGGCAATCTCTGTTGCATGATGAGCTCAGACCTGGCCCATGGGTATAGCTCCAGGGACCGGTTCATAGTGGGGAAAGGCAGAGATAGAGTTGCTATCTCCAACCTGTGGCTCAATCAGAATCCTGCCCAGTGTCTGCTGGCCCTGAGCTTCTCACTCAGCACTAATCAGCTTCACCTGCCATCAGGTTCTATGTTTATCCCTCAAGAGAATCCAAGCTCCCTCTAATTCTATTCCTGGTTGAAGACAACACAATCTATGTTTAGGATGCCTCTGGGTTGTGGGAGGCAGCTGTTCTGAAGTTGGAGGTACTGGAAAATAATCTCTAGCTAGATCTGGGCTTCCAAAGAAAGAAACAAATGCATTTTTCCTTGAGTAAAATAAAAGGGGAAGACGTTTGGTCTGAGAGGCCACTTTAGTGCAACTGTGAGACATGTTATCACTATGGGGTCCTCTTCACCAGCCTCTTACCAGTGGCTGGATGCCCATGATGTTCCAAGGAATTAAGAGGCACTATCTCTGCCTCATGTCAACCTGCAGGGTAAGCATCCCACAGTTCTGCCTCTTATTTGCCATATGACAAAAATATAGGTTTAGAATCAGATCTGACTTAATCACTTACAGGTATGAGACAGTGGAACATATCACCTTTGTTGAGTCTCGACTTTTCCATTTCTAAAATGGGTTGTTGAATTAAATGAGATAATGTATGTATAGCTCAACTCACAGTAGGCACTTATCAATGCAATTCCTCTTGCATCCTTTCTTGCATGTGCCATGCCCGGCCTTATGGTGGGTACTGAAAACACAGATGACTCAGACCAAGTCCCTTCCTACTTGGGGCTGAGTTTTCCCGCTTCTATACCCAGGCTGGGTCATTCCTCATAGAAAGGGAGCAAAAGGTCCGGGGCAAAACCAGAAGGTTGGGTAAAACCATGAAGCCTACAGTGTGCTAAACAGGACAGAGGTGAGGCAAGATTGCTGTCTAGCCTTGAAGTGCTCTCCTCAGTGGGCGGCCTTCATCTCCTCCTCTTCATCCATCACCTTCATTTTCAGCATTTGACTGTCAGATGTTGCCAACACTGATGGCAATATGGAGATCAAAGGGCAAACGATAATTTATTCACTATTTACATGACACCCTCTCGCAGATTCACTAGCTCCTCGTATCTACAGAGCTTCTGGTGAGTGGCCTTGGTAGGGCAAGGATTATGCCTCCTGCTGTCACTGAGTAAATGGGTTCCCCAGAGAGGGCCAGTGGCTGGCACAAAGTAGCCCATCGGGTCAGTGGCAAGCTCGAGGACATAGACCCTGGACTCTCCACCCATTCTAGTCCAGCCCTTCCTCCATTCTATCCCAAGGACTCTCCTGGTAATGTGCCCTTTAGGTAATGCTGTTCACTTTAGTAGACTGCATTGAAAGTTAATATAGTTCTGGGCAGCCTGGGTGGCTCAGCGGTTTAGCGCTGCCTTCAGCCCAGGGCCTGATCCTGGAGACCCAGGATCAAGTCCCACATCGGGCTTCCTGCATGGAGCCTGCTTCTCCCTCTGCCTGTGTCTCTGCCTCTCTCTCTCATGAATAAATAAATAAAATCTTAAAAAAAAAGAAAATTAATATAGTTCTGCTTCAGGTAGTGACTAATAGGTTGTGGTACCAAGTAATCAAATTTCCTCTGAGGATGGGTATTAATATTTTTTTGCTTGCAAAAAATACCCAACTCAAACTAGCTTAAAAGATTAATAAAAATAAAGGGGGGGCTTATAAGGTCCCTTAACAGGGCTTATATATAATAACTAACAAAGTTAAGTCTATGGCATCAGCTCTTTTGTACTCCATTTTGGTTTAAGGGTACCTTTTATAATCATTGGATTTATTTATGTTTTATCTACCATTTATGGTATTTGAAATGTTCAAAAGGATCAGCTATGCTAAATCCATAACTGGTATTTCTGTTGAAGGCAGTTTAATCAAATTTGTCATTGTTTAAATATTCAAGAGGTTTTTTTTTTTTTTTTAAGATTTTATTCATGAGAGACCCAGAGAGAGAGGCAGAGACATAGGCAGGCTCCATGCAGGGAGCCCAATGTGGGACTTGATCCCAGGACTCCAGGATCATGCCCTGGGCAGAGGGGAAGTGCTCAACTGCTGAGCCACCCAGGCATCCCATTCAAGAGGTTTTCAATGTTTTAATGAATAGGAGTTTAAGAAATTGAGCACCAGGGGTGCCTGAGTGGTTCAGTCAGTTGAGCAGTCTATTTACCTTCAGCTCAGACCATGATCCCAGGATCCTGGGATCGAGCCCCGAGTTGGCTCCCTACTCAGTGGGGAGCCTGCTTCTCCCTCTCCCCCCTGCTGCTCCCCCTGCTTGTGCTCTCTTGTGTGCACATGCACTCTCTCTCTCTCTCAAATAAATCATTAATCAAAAAAAAAAAAAAAAGAAAAGAAAAGAAAGAAATTGAGCACTGAAGTTTATGGAGTAGTGCATATTCCTCTCAAGCCCAAAGGTTCCCAGACATCAAGCAATCTAACAAACACACAAAAAAATAGGTCACTGGATTTTTTTTTTAAATTATCATATCAATAATTATTATAAAACTATTTTTAGGAGGTAAATTATTAGTTCTGTACATTTATTCTTTCATCATTGTATGACCCTTAGTTTTATGACAAAAGAGATGCCCATTTAAAACTTTTTAACAGTCAATTTGTTTTAAGAAAGCAGAGTACAAAGTCAAGTAAAAGTCATGAGTGAAGGCTATCACCCCATATCACTGAGGTAAGTATTTGTGGCCTCACTAGCTACAATTTGGGAATAACCTCAGGGTGTTGTGTAAAAAGAAGATGTGCAGTGACAAGCCCCAGGGTAGGTAGACTGGATGGTACCAGATGGGAAGATTCTGTGTATCCCAGTTCCCTCACTTAATTACTTTATAGCTCATGTGTAATATGCAATCTAACCAGTCATGGTAATCTCTGCCCTGCTTCCCTCAAAAAGCAACTATGTTCCAATGTCAATGTGTAAAAGTACAAAGGATTATTATCAATAAAGCTTTCTGGAAGTAAAAGTTCTGATGAAAAGCAAGAAAAGGCCTCAAATCCATTTTTCAAAAGAAGTTGGGTACAAACTAGATATAAGTATTAGGATGATAATCACCTCACAGTTTGACCACAACAAAACAAATAGCAGTCATAAGAATTAAACTCTTTATTCATCTCTCTTGTTTCCAAGAGTCCTGGTAGTTTCTATAGTACAGAGGGCACTTCTGGCACTTGGTATCACAGAACCAAGACATGCTCGCTACACACTGGAAGCACAGCATCTCTCCTGGAGTCCTGGACAAGGGGAAGTTACAGAAACTCCAATTAGGGACAGAGGGGAAAGAGCACTGAAATGAGAACCCAAATCAAGGCTTGGCTTTGGGCTTGGGCTGTGATTCTGACACATCCAGGCAGGCAGCTAAAGCCAGAGAAAAGCTCTTTTTCCGGGAAGCACTGTGACTGACCCGGATGCAGGCCAGCAAAAAGAAGACTCATTTAGGGTGAGTGTTCAGCGGGTTTAGAGCACCATCCAATCCACAGAGGGATGCAATATGCTCCTCCCTATGGGGTAGCTTGCCCCGGCCTTCTCACTTAGCTCCAGAAGGCCAGGATTTTTGATTCCTTTATTCATTCAGCCTAATTTTACTGTTGTCTGTTCTGCGCCAGGCCCTGTGCTGGGTGCAGAGGACACAGAAAGGAATCAGGCACAGTCCTTATCCTTAGGGAGTTCAGAATCCAATAGAAAAATCATTTTTATAAAGAAATCACTATAATTCAAGGTAAAAAGGATAGAGGATTCATACAGACTTGGCCCTCAAGGAATTCACAACCCAGCAGATGCCTAGAGGGCACAAGACAGACAATAATGATATATTGCACCCTGTGGTAATGACCAGAGGGAGGGAGGCTCCAACTATGCACTGCAGGAGCAAGGAAAGGATGACATGACATATACTGAATAATGCAGTGTGGAAAACGCACAGCCTATTGAAGAAGACAGAGCAGCCTAATCTGGCTGAAGTAGAAGTATTGAAACCTACTGCCCTGTAGAGGAGGCATGGGAGGCAGCCTTATGTTGACTTCTGTGGGTGCCTTGGGCTACCCAAGAAACAAGGTGCAATGTCTCTTACCTATGGCTACAGCTGCATGATATCCCAAGGATATGAGGGGAGATCGGTGACCAGGAGAAACAGATCCAAATAAACCACCAAATAACAAGGGCCTGAAGTAAAAATAGTAGGAGCCTAGGAGTGAAGGCATCAGGGGTTTGGGAGCATGAGCAGGACCAGCAAATTGAAGGGGTAGGAGGTGGATTTGGACACAGACCAGCAGCAGGAGGCCCCTACCTACCTATGCTTTCTTGCTCTCCCAGTGATGAGCCATGTGTGCTGGATGGATCCATTCTAAGTGTCCAAAGATAGGGTGGGAGCTTCTGGGGGCAAAGGGACCACAGCCTCTATAGTCCTCTTCATGCCCCTAGATTAGAGGCCTCCAGTCTACCTTCCTCTTTTCTTCACAGCTGCCATTACCTGCCCCATCTTTTTCATTCTACCAACGTGAGAGGGCCTGAAATGGACTCTGTTAGGATGTCCAGGGGCCTGGAAAGCCTTGGGTACTTGGCACAAAGAGAGTCAGAGTGCCTACAGCTGTTTCTGTTGGTCACCTGGAACATGAACGAGTTAAACCAGCTTAAAGTTACAGGGCTGGGTAGGAACCTATCAGTAGCCTAAACTGCCAGCCTGTGTGGGCCTCTGTCCCTTCCCCCACATTTTGGCAAACAGCTCCAGCCTGTCGTCATTTCTTCTTCACAGCAGCCACCACTCATACCACCTCTCCAGCCTAGGTCTCATATCTGGGCCATGTTCTCTCTCCTCCTAAACATGCCGGGACTCCTTCCTTGCTGTTCTTTCTTCATAGCTGCTATTGCCCACTCTGTTCCTCTTCCTAATCCTCATTCTGGATTCCCTTTGTCCCCAACCCTCTTTTCTTGCTTTTCATTCTCTTCATCCTTTAGACCCTGTTAGAGAAGGAAGCCATCCCCACGGTTCCTATCTATTTGGGGTATGGTGCTCAGGAAAGCTTTGCAGAACAAGAAGCTTCCACTACTCAGGAATGGGTTGCCCTTCCCCTGTTCCTCCTTGTACCACCAATTCTGTCACCCCCTCCACTGCTAACTTGACAGAGATCTTCTCTGAGTGGGCTTCATACAAAGAGAGATTTGTTTAGAGATTTGTGTGGAGATTTGTATTCATTATCTCAGCCAAAAATGGAAGGCTCTACATGCCAGACTAAATGTAAAAACCCTTCAGTAGGCTATTGAGGAGCCACAAATGATTTTCAACCAGGGAATGGCAATAGAAAGCACCTTACATTATGCACAGCTCTCGAAAATATTTAGATAAATGTACAAATGAGTGAATAAGTGATCATAACTGTGTACTAGGAGGATAACTTTGACAAATGGGTGAGAGGCTGAGGGAATTTTAAAAAGTCACTCTAAGCCATGGGCTTAAAGCCATATGCAGAAGTAGGTGAAGTTAATCTCTACCTTCATCCTGGTAGACTCTCCCCCATATGACAGGTGCAACTGCAACCCCCAGCCTCCTGGGCTCTGTTCTACAACCAAGACTTGCTCTCCAGGCCATTACTTGGCACCAAATTTAGTTATTTGATACAAGTTGGAGGTATTCTTCTCCTAAAATAGGGAGAAAAACCATATCTTTGATAGAATTTCTGTTATAATAACAGGCTATGGAGAACTGAATCTAAAATAAGAGGAACCAATCTGGTATCATCTGAGACATTCAGCACTGGCAAATTTCAGCCCCAAATCTATCAGACAAAGAGGCATCTCGACTTCACAAACAGTGATTGCAGTAGGTACAAAAAATAGGCCTGATTCAGAGGTCTGGAGTCCAGAGACCTTCCTAATGGTGAAGACCTTCTTCATGGGTAAAAAGGAGTGACTAGCCCAGAGCAATATTCTGAGAAAAAAAAACAGACCTGGGGGAAACCCAGCAACCTGGCCAAGCCCTGAGGCTGCTGACTCCAAGCACAATGAAGATACAACTAAGACAATGACATCAGGAGCTACCATCACCCCAACTTAAAGCCCAACATCTACAAACCAGCTGCACTGATTTGCTTGAATTTTCTCACACTTCTAGTCCCATAAACTGTGAGCTCCTTGAGGGCAGAGAACATGGGAAGTTTTGTCTAATGCTTTAAAGTCCTGATCCGTGTCCTTTTCTCATCAGGCACCATCCTAGTACACGTACTTCAGGTTCATCTTTCATAGGAGTGATGCCATCAGAAATAGTATCATCCTTGGGGGCCACTGGCTTTGAGTTTCTCATTTTTTTTTCCCTAGGAAATAAGCGTTCTGGCTGAGGAAGGGATGATTGAGCAGAGCTGCAAAGCTGGAGAAGGTAGGTGACCTCATGATTCTACTGTTCTGCCCAATTCCTCTAGGATAGAGAGCCTGTAGAGTTCTAAGGATGATTAGAAGGGTGAGGGTGTGTTTGTTCTTAATAAACCAGGTCTTCCTTTGTGCCAGAACACCTGCTTGTAGCCTCACACCTGGATGAGTGGTGAGTCATTGGAAAAGATGAATCCTCTGACTTCCATTTTGAGATCAGAGTCCTATCAGAGACCTATACAGCCAGGACTCACTGATCGTGGACTATGCAGTCACTCTGCCATTCCTAGGAATGGGAAGAAGAAAAATCACAGAACCAATCCTCTCATTTTACAGATGGAGACCTGAGGCCCAGAGAGTTCAGGTGACACGTCCAAGGTCCCAAAGCAAGCCAGTGGCACAACCAAGGACTACATCATCGTTTCCCAACTCATAGTTTTTTCCATTGCGGTAGCTACGGCAAAATTTTCATTTTGCTCTTTGGAGAAGTGAAGAAAGGTGGGGAGCAGAATATTAAGTTTCTGGATTCTCTGTAGACTTTAATAACCTCTATTAACGTGGCCTCCATTATCCTGGCTGTGGTTGCCTTCTGTGGCTTCCTTTCTATGGAAAATTGGGTCCTAAGCCAATTTTTAGCTTTCAGTTGGCTCAGAGTTCTTACCAGGGCCGGTGTTATCCTCATGCATGTGGCTCAGGATCTCTTGGTCTGTAAACAGGCGGAAGGCAATCTGCTCACACTCTCGCTTGGTCCCACACTCAAACAAACATCCAAACAAGCCCTCCTTTTCCAAAGCAGCCAAATCAGAGTAGCCACAGGGTCCACAGTGCAAGATCCAGGGGCGGGACCAGCAGGCAGCATCCAAGGGGGTCTGGTTGAGATAGATGCCTAAGTTGACCCTCCGCTTCTTACTGGTTGGGTGTGAGTACAAGAGCCAAGATTTGGACAGAATTCCACCTTCCTGCTCTGGCCACAGTGAGCTGTCCAGCAGAGGGCTCTGCTGAATGGTAGGAGAATCTTTACCATTCAGGTCCTGGCACCCATGAAGGATCTCCAAGGGCCGGAAACTCACCACACTGCCTTGGCAGCCATGCGGGGGCTCACACAGCTGATTGCTCAGGGCTGGTCTCTGAAAGCATTCACCATTGTTAATGCTGAAAGCCTCTGCCCGGCATCTGTTTGGTGTCCGGGCACTGCAATACAGCACAGGGTCGCCAGCCCTCCCAGTCACCTCTGCCACTTCGCACTCCACTGTTGCCATGGGCTTAATGAGCCTGCCATGGTGCCAGGTGGCCCCTAGGTCATCACTGTAGATCATCAGGGAATGAGGCTTGGCTTTGCATGGTAGCCGGAAGCAAAAGAACCAATAAGGGATGTAGTAGGCATATGCAGGGATGATCAGCCTCCCTGACTGCAGCTGGATGCCATGACCTGGGCCCACAGCAAATGTGGCCCAACGCTTCACCTCTGCACCAATAACCTCTTCAGTCAGGTCCCTCACCTCACTCCATGAACAGCCAGCATCTTGACTGCAGATGAAGCAGAGGCGGGCTGCATTCCTGCCTGACATGACCTGTTGACGCTCGGTGACATGGCCGCGCACACAGATGAAGAATAGGTATACACAGTCACTCTTCTGCTCCCACACAGGACAGGGGTTCATGGTCCGATGCCCAGGTAACGTGGCTTCCATCAATGGCTTCAGGGGTTCCCACTAAACAAGGGGAAGGGAGAGAGAACAGGAGTGAGAGACTAACAGGAAGACATGAGGCTCATTGAAAGAGCATTAGTATTTTTCAGTGTTAAGAAATAAATGGTATTAAAATCTATGAAATCAAGTATGCACTAATATTCACTAATTCTCAAATATTATAGGATGATTTATACTGCTGGGAAGAGGCAATGCTAGATATTGTACATGCTGTCCTCTCTGCCTAGAACACTCTGCCTCACATTGTATAGATGCCCAATTCACCCTCCACACTCAAAAGTCACCTCCTTTGTAAAACTTTCTATGAAACTTCCTCCCCTCCCTACTCCCCCCAAAAGCAGTTGGTGGCTTCCTCCTTGTACACACAGAAGAATTTTAGCATTTATTATATGATGATCATAATTTTTATGTGACTGGCTCCCTTCCTAGATTGAGTCTTTTGAGGACAGAAATAAAATTATTCAAATTTTGTATCTCTGGTGCCTACCTATCTCCTATCACATGATAGGAGCTAAAGAAATATATTTTCAAAGAAAGAAAAAAGGAAGGAAGAGGGGGAAAAAGAAAAAGAAAAGAAGATGAAGAAAAGCAAAGCAAAGCAGACAAATATGCAATTTAGGCAAATAAAGAGAAATTTTAAGCAAAGATTTTTTTTTTCCTTTCTCTACTATCCTGGGGAGGCTATTCATAACTCTGTCATTAAAAACTCAAGCATGAAGTCAGAGACACCTGGTTCGAAGCAGCCTTCATCATTTCTTGTGTGAACTTGGGCAAGTTACTTAAACTTACTTAACCTCAATTTCTTCAGCAGTTAAACAGAAAATATAGTAACACATGCTAACACAGGAGTTTGTGGTATAAGGCTAAAATGAGATAATGTGTAATCAGAAATAGCACAAAGAAAGGCCTAACCTCCTTAATATATTTTTAAAACTATATTAGAAATTGGTAAGAAAATTTTCAGAAGCCCAACTGGAATGGGCAAAGAGCAAGATTAGGCAACTCACAGAAAGAGGAAAAAACAATAAAAATATGTTTAATCTCACATATAAAAGAGAAAAGCAAATTAAAATTAAAATTGAGGTCACACTTTTCTTCTAACAAACTGGCAACATCAGAATCTTTGACACTATTCTGTTGACAAAAATGTGAAGAAACAGGCACTCTCTTATATGCAATGAAGTGCATAATGGTTCAACATTTATGTAGGGCATGTCAAAATTCCAGATGCATTTATCCTTTCTCAGCATGCCCAATTCTGAGAATTTATCCTAAAATATATCTGCTCATCAAATTAAATATATGCAAGATTACTCACTGTGGCACTATTCAGAACAGCAAAATATTGTGAACCCAAATATTCATCAGTAGGGGACTGGTTAAATGAACATACAATGCAAGAGACGAAAAAAGAAAAAAGAAGGCCTCTACACACTGAGATAGATCTCAAATGAACAGAGCAAATTACAGACCAATGTATATAGTATGCTACCCTTTGCATAAGAAATAAAAAGAAAAATCTAATAGCAGCAAACTAGTTTGAACCAACCTTTCCACTGAGACTAGGGATGACAGATAAAATATCAAAACAAAACCATCTGGTTAAAAGCACCAGAGAGAAAGTAAGAGAATGAAAAATTATAAGCTAAGAACTGAGAGAAGTTCATTCAGAGAAGCTAGCCTGGTATTTCAAGTCCCTTTTCCTCTCAGGGTATCTCTGCTAATTCTCAAAGAGAACTGAAAAGCTGAAAAGATGAACAATTTGTTTGACAGCCTTATGGGAGCAGGAAGGCAAAAATTTGGGGCCCTGGTAAACTCCCATGCTTTACGGTTGAACTTCAAAGAGCTAAATGCACAGAGTAAGGGTGAAACTGAAGTAGACCAGCTCTCATGACCACCACTCTAGAAAACTGGCTGGCACTATCTACTGAAGTGGAATATAAACCTACCCTCTGATTCAGTAATGCCATTTCTAGATATAAGCTCAACCAAAATGCACGCACACAGTAGCAAAAACACGTACAATAATATTCAAAGCAGCCCATACACAATAGCTTGGATAAACCTCAAAAATATTGAACAAAAGAAGCCAAACATAAAGAATAAAGATGAAAAACAAGCAAAACTAGGGACTCCTGGCTGGCTCTGTCAGTAAAGCATGTAACTATTGATCTCAGGGTCATGAGTTCAAGTCCCATGCTGGGTCTAATAAAAAAAATAATAAAGTCTAATTAAAAAAAACCAAAACACTAAACTAGAGCTGTAAATCAGGATAGCAATTCCCTCTGAGAAAGAGAAGGGGGATAAGAGAAGTTTCTGAGGTGCTGGTAATATTTTATTTCTTGAGCTAAGTGATGAGTCTACAAGTGTTGGCTTTTTCAGTTCACAGGTAGACATTCATGTTTTGTGCACTGGACATTTGTTTTCTATATATGTGTTATCACTTCATGTTAAAAAATTTTAAAGGGGGAGTATTAAGAATATATACTTGTATTTCTTTGTTTCTGTAAGAAGCAGCACTATAAGAGTACATAGGAAATAATGGTGACAACCTATAGGAAGTAGGGCACTAAGGATGGGATATATATATTTTTATAGTGTTTTATATGATGTATGCCACATGAATGTATTAACTATGTGAAATAAAACATTTAATCCCTTCATAAATGGGCAAAATATGTTATTAAGCAAAGCTCATATCAGAGAATCTCGGAGTCATAAGGACCTAGAATTAACTCCCATCTTATAGAAGAGCTTTCTCTAAGCCTTCTGGATCAAGGCCATTCAGTCTCCTGGAACTGGCCGAGGGACAGGGAAGTCAGTATCTCTGGGGCAGCCCATTCTGTACCAGAGTACCTTGTGCACTGTAAACACTTTAAACATTGTCAAATTCAATGAAGTTATTGGCCAGTCTAATCACTGTGAAGTCAGAAGCTCAACCACTCTTACTGGCTAAGAGGAGAAAATTATTTGGGCCAGATAAGTCTAATACAAAGTTAACATGAAGCTGGAAGAAACACTAACTAAAACATGAAAGCATTAGAATCTAAATGATCTCAACCAGCTGGAGCAATGGGACATAAACAAGCTGAGGCTTGACAGAAATAGAAGTCCTGGGCTTAAAAATCTGGATGGAGAACATGATTAAAGAACAGCAAACATGATGGCCAACAAGCATAATGAAACGTTACTCAACATCACTAATAATTAGGGAAATGTAAATCAAAACCACAAGACAGCACCTCACATGCACTGGAATGACTACTATCAAAAATAAATTATAAGTGTTGGCAAGGATATAGAGAAATTGGAATCCTGTACACCCTTGGTGGGAATATAAAATGGTGTAATCATTGTGGTCAAAAGTATGGAGAGTCCTCAAAAAAATTAAAAACAGAATTACCACCTGACCCAATAATTCTACTTCTAGATATATGCCCAAAAGAATGACAAGCGAAGTTCTGAAGAGATATTTGCACACTCATGTTCACAGCAGCATTACTTGCAATAGCTAAAAGGTAGGAGAACCCAAGTGTCCATCAACAGGTGGATGGATAAATCAAATGTGGTATACACATACAATGGAATATTATTCAGCCTTAAAGAAGGAAATCCTGTCATGCACTACCACATAAATGAACTTTGAGGGACATTATACCAAGTGAAATAAGCCAATCACAAAAAGGCAAATACTGGATGATTCCACTTACATGAGGAATCTACAGTAACTAAAAACTCATAAAAACAAAGAAGAGGGACGCCTGGGTGGCTCAGCAGTTAAGCATCTTCCTTTGGCTCAGGGTGTGATCCTGGAGTTCCAGGATTGATTCCCACATCAGGCTCCCTGCATGGAGGCTGCTTCTCCCTCTGCCTGTGTCTCTCATGAATAAATAAATCTTTAAAAAAAAGAAGAAGAAAAAGAAGAAGAAAGAAGAAAAAGAAAGAAGAAGAAAGAAGAAAGAAGAAAGAAGAAAGAAGAAGAAGAAGAAGAAGAAGAAAGAAGAAAGAAGAAGAAAGAAGGAAGAAGAAGAAGAAGAAGAAGAAGAAGAAGAAGAAGAAGAAGAAGAAGAAGAAGAAGAAGAAGAAGAAGAAGAAGAAAGGTGGTGGCTAGGGGATGGGGAAGAGGGAAATGAGACTTGTCCAAAGGGTATAACATAGCAGTCATATATGATGAAAAAGTTCTAGAGATCTGGTGCACAACGTGTCTCTAGTTAACAATACTACAATGTACACTTAAAATGGTTAAGATGCAAATTTTTAGGTATATTTTACTATAATTTAAAATTTTTTAATTTTATTTACTTCTATTTTTAAATTTTAATTAATTACTTTTTAAAGATTTTATTTATTTATTCATGAGAGACACAGAGAGAGCCAGAGACACAGGAGAGATGTGGGACTCAATCCCAGGACTCCAGGATCATGCCCTGGACCAAAGGCAGACACCCAACTGCTGAGCCACCCAGGCATCCCTATTTTTTTTTTTTAAGATTTTATTTATTTATTAATGAGAGACACAGAGAGGCAGAGACATAGGCAGGGGGAGAAGCAGGCTCCCTGTGAGGAGCCCAATGTGGGACTTGATCCAGGACTCTGGGATCACGACTGGAGCCAAAGGCAGATGCTCAACCACTGAACCACCCAGGTGCCCCCGCTAAAAATTTTTATAAAACAGCAAATGCGAAAAGGATTCAGAGGTTGGTAGCTGACAATCTACTTAGTGTTAGTCAACTTGTGTTATGCAGCTGGCAAAAAAGCAGATGCTACATTAGACTGCATGACAAGAATATAAAATGAGATAGCTACCTCATTGCTGAACTGGTCCATCTATCCTTAGGGGCCCTATATTCAGAGTACCATTCTTTGAAAAAGGACACTGACATCCCAGATCAAATCCCAAAGACAAGGGCAGCCCCAGTGGCTCAGCGGTTTAGCGCTGACTTCTGCCCAGGGCGTGATCCTGGAGACCCGGGATCGAGTCCCACGTCGGGCTCCCTGCATGGAGCCTGCTTCTCCCTCTGCCTCTCTCTCTCTCTCTCTCTGTTTCTAATAAATAAATAAAAAATATTTTTAAAAATCCCAAAGACAGTAATCACAGCTTTCAAGGGACCAGAAACTAAATTAGACTATGGCCTCATGAGCCACTGAAAGAACTAAAGCTGGTGATCCCCTAGATTGGAGGAATTGGAGGGTATGAACACTGCTTTTTTTAGGTACATCAAAGAGCATTCTTTGGAAAAGGGACTTTATATTATGTATGGATTAGTTGTCCCAGAAACCGTAACAAGACCAATGGGTAATTAATTATGGAGAAGTATAGGTTGTTTCACTCCAAAAACAAAAGTTAACAGCTGCCACAGGACTAAGTTTCTCACTTGAAGAGTTGTGTAAGCAGACCCTTTATGGAGGATGACTAATGTTGAGTTCTTAATATGTAACTGCTATTATTTATATTTTACAGATGATGAAACAGAAGAGTCAGACGTTCAAGGTCACACCACCAATAAATGATAGGTTTTGCCTGACTCCAAAGACATATTCTTAACCCCTAAGCTATTACTAGCCACCAAGAGAATACAGAAGTTCTCTGTCCTGGGAAAGAAGTTAGGCTGATGATTATTCTAACTTCAAGATTCTACAGTTGGGTAAGTCAGAAAATGAAAAGTGATAAAATACAGAGAAGGGAGATTGAGTTAAAATGGATGCATCTGTGAATGCTTGTGACAGCTGGGCAGTGAGGTTATGTCAGGCATGGTCTGGTAAGAAGTGTTTCACAGCCCAACGGTCTGCGGTAGAAAGCAAGACAACAAGACCACAGGCAATGCGTAGTCCTGGAGGAAACAAAAAAGCTGTAACTCCAAGCTGGGCTGCAGGGCTGGGCCTCTTTGGAGGCCAGTGATACAAGCAGAGGTTTGGTCCTGAGAAGCCATGAAGAAGGCTCATGGCAAGACAGAGTGAAAGAGCAGGGACTGGAAATTCCCCAAAGTAAAAATCTTTCCCACAAGAAAATGTGAGCAAGTCATCCAGAGCAGAGGCAGGGGGGTGCTGGCAAGGCCCACCTATGGCAGAAAAGCATTTGCACTGTAATAGCAAACAAAGGGATTCCTGTAGACGTAAAGTTTTAATGGTGATATTTCTGTGGGTAGAAAACCAGGGTGCATGAGGGGGAATAGAGTGTCTATTATAAAGAAATCTATGTTTGTATCTTTGTTTGTTTATAAAAGACTCTCAAATCCATTATCCCATTTGATCCTCATTTCAGCCAGCTCTACAGAAGAAAAGACAAATGGGATCTGAAATAACCCTACACTCACAGTCCCAAAGGAAGCACTCAATCTCCTCTAAAAATGCAGTGAAGATGTGCTACTTAGGGGTGAGGGATCCAACCCCAGTTCTGTGGCTTGGTAGGCATGTATCTGAGTCAAGCCACTTTAATCCCGTTTCCTCCTGTAAAACAGGAATACTGTGCACCTCACATAAAATACGCAGGAAAAGGAGGACTGTTGTTATCCTCACCCCCACTGTCTGCTAGTTGTGGTCTTTAACAAGACGTACCCCCCCGAAGGACCAGGATCCCTCACCAGAAAACTGAACTAATAATGCTTACTTCCTGGGTGACTTATAAGAACAAAAGAGAATGGGAATCAAAAGCACACCACATGTTAGTTGAATATGAATGAACCATGGAGGCCTCTGGAATCAGAGACGGGAGTTTAAAGCCTGCTTCTGTAGTTTTAGTATAGCTATGTGACCTTGAACAAGTGGCAACGTCTCTGAGCCTCAGTTTCCTCATCCGTAAAATGTGACTAACAACCATTCCTATGTCACAGGGTGGCTGTTGAGGAGCCCATGTGTGCCTGGCACACAGTAAGTACTCTGAGAGCCATTGCTTTTACTGTTTTTTTTTTCTTCCTCCCACACAGGGATTTTCCAGCACTGACAGGAAAAGGCACAGACCCTGAAATACTCTAAGCAATGTGGAGAAAGACTGAGGCTCAGAGACAGATTTGGGATGAGGAGTCACCTGTACCGAGTGCCCAGTCCTCAACCCTCGCCTCAGCACCAGGTGGAGAGCATCCTCATCCCTGCTCGTGGAGCGCTTCTCTGCAAAGGCCAGGAAGGTGTGGGTGGGGGGGATGTAGAGCAGGGCTGGGATCCGGTAGGTGATCCCTCTCTTGTCTTCCTGCTGGAACAGAGGGCTGTTGAAGGAGCACGATGTCACTTCTTCCATGACCTCTGCAAGGACAGGGAGGCAGCTAAATGCGTGTCCATACCCAAATGCTGACCTGCGTACAAGTTCTGCTCTATCATCCCATTTCTGAGATCACACACAGGGAGGCAAAGATTTACTCAAATGTTTATTTTCTTATACAAAAGTAACATCATGATCGCAAAAGCATAAAGCAAGCAATACGCATTCTCATTGAACAAATCTATCCTTTAGACTATGGGATTCCTACACAGCCTGTGTTAAGTATATCTCTCTAGAGAGATTCTGCACAAGTTTCTGCCAAGCATCCAGGGGTATTACCAGCCTGGATGTTTTCTAATGTCAATTTCTTTGGAGTATTTAGGCCATTAGGGTAACAGATATATAAGTCCAAATCCGTTTGAGGAAATGCCTGTGGTTAAGAATTATCTGGGGAAACCTTTTCCCTCTACTAGAGCCTAGGATAAGAGGCAGTCTTCTTTGTCATCTCTCTGGGTCTTTGCCTAGTCCACCTCATCAAAAGGTGTGGATTTTCAAGGGCCCAGCTTCATGCAGGGATCTCAGTTCCAATGACAATCTAACTCATCTGGGCCATAGTTGCATTTACTGCAACAGCAGGTCTATTAAAGCCCAAACTTCTAGGTAAGTGAGATCAGCAAAAACCCGAGGTGGCTGAGGTGAGGACTAACCACGCTGGTTTTCAGTTTACTCTTGGATTCTAGGCCCCTGGGAATTTCTTACTTTCTTGCCATTTTAGCTATAAAGGACTTTGCTATATATTTTTTTAAAATTTTTTTAATTTTTATTTATTTATGATAGTCACAGAGAGAGAGAGAGAGAGAGAGAGGCAGAGACATAGGCAGAGGGAGAAGCAGGCTCCATGCACCGGGAACCCGATATGGGATTCGATCCCGGGTCTCCAGGATCGCGCCCTGGGCCAAAGGCAGGCGTCAAACCGCTGCGCCACCCAGGGATCCCGACTTTGCTATATTTTATCCACCATGTAAGGGGTTAGCTAGCCAGCCATAATGCTGAAAATAGAAGTCTCCAGGGATGCTTCTCAAAGAGAATCAAGTATTCTACTTCTCAGAGGCCCAAAAAGGGAATTAAGCCAGACAGAACCAGGCTTAGAATTCTATTTTTTTTCTTCTCTCACCATCCATCATTCAAACCTTCTCATAAATCACTTATAAAAATTGTCAGGCTATAAAAACAAGGCCCAGAAAGCCTTCTTCATTTATTTAATAAATATTTCTGGGTGCCCACTCCAAGTCAGGATATAAGGTAGGCGCTGAGGTGACAGAAAGGAATCAGAAGTCCCTGACTTCAAGAAACCCACATCCAAGTGAGGGAAACAGACATACACAGACAATTACAATGTCACGCAGTGAGTGCCACATTAGAGGTAAACATGAGAGTGTTCAGGAAAACAGAAAAAGGGCATCTGTCCAGATCAGGGCAGCCAGGTGAGCTCCTGTCTCTTATCTTACACTCTGTGCCTTTCAAATACATTCTGCTTTTAAATAACCAAGAGCTCACTCCCTCAACTACTTCAGCTTTGTTCAAATGTTATCTAATAGAGGACTTCCCTGACAACTCCCCTGCTCCTCACTATCCCCTCTCTCTGCTCTCTTCTCCATGCCACTTATCATCCAGATTATACTTGTTTGATATATATTACGGAGCAAAAGCTCTACAAAGGGCAGAGATAGGTCTGTTCTATTCACCACCACGTCTTTACATCCAGAACCATGTCTGGTAATTGACAAGCAAGCACTTGATGAATAGCTGTTGAATGACTGAATGAGTGGGTGAGCTGGATCTTAAAGGATGAACAGTGGGTCAGCCAGTTGAGGTGTAAAAAGGGCAGAGGGAGTGGATGTGAAAAGCCTATAAACGACAGGAAGCAGTGAGCTGTGGGAGCTATCGTTGGTGCATTATGAGTACAGTGGAATGCAAGGGTGGGACTGAAGGGATTGGGAGAGTCCAGGTCCTGGGAGGCTTTGATACCTTATTAAGGTGTTTATCCCACAGAGAAGGGGCCACTCAAGAATTTTTGGCAGAGGAATGGCATGATGAAGTATGCATTTTATTTTTTTTAAAGATTTTATTTATTTATTCATGAGAGACACAGAGAGATGCAGAGACAGGCAGAGGGAGAAGCAAGCTCTCTGTGCGGAGCCCGATGTCAGACTTGATCCCAGGACCCCAGGATCTCATCCTGAGCAGAAGGCAGACCTCAACCACTAAGCCACCCAGGCGTCCCCAAGTATGCATTTTAGATCAATTTTCCAGGTATTCTGTGGGTAATAAACTGAAAGAAAAAGCTGCACTGCTTTGGCTACAGCTGCCTAGTGTCAATCAAGACAAACTTGATTATCCAATGGCATATGAATGATTCATTTGGTCACCTGTTTCTAACTTAAAAAAAGAAAAACCATGGCTCATTACCATAAGGGACTGGGGAGGTGGCCTCCAGAGTCCAGAAGAAAAGCCTCCCCTCACTCCGATTCTAGGTGATCAGTAGCAGAATTGAAAGGCAAGTGTGAACTGTCTTCCTCACACAGTACTAAAGCACACCTCTGTCTCAATTAATGCTCTCCTGCCAGGGGGGATCAGGCTTTTTCTAAGTAAACATCTGCTCCTGAGCCAAGCTGGTGTAATGGTTAAGAACATAGGATTTGGACCGCACTGGGGACTATATGACCTTGGGCTTGTTATTTAACTTTCCTAATGCTTCAGTATCTTTGTGTATAAAATTCAGTAGAGTTGTTGAGAGAATTAAGTTAAAAAGTTAAATTGGTTGTTATAGAGCCTATGATATGACATAATATGAACTGAATATATGGCAGTTAATATTTTTATTGCAGTGTCAGTCACTGCACATTCTACAGTTGACCCAACGACACAGGAATTAAGGGAGCTGACCCATCCCTCACCCCAGCAGTCATAAATTCATGTATAACTTTTGATTCCCCAAAAACTTAACTAAGAATAGCCTACTGTTGACTGGAAGCCTTACCAATAATATAAAATCAATTAACACACATTTTGAAATGTATATGTATTATACATTTTGTATATGTATTATATACTGTATTCTTACCATAAGGTTAAAGAAAAGAAAATGTTACAAAATCACAAGTTAGAGAAAATAAATTTTAGTATTGTACTACATTTACTCAAAGAAATCTTCATATAAGTGAAACTGTGTAGTTCAAACATGTGTTGTTCAAGATCAACTGTAGTTTTATTCCTTGAAATCTGTGGGTGCTGATGATGATAACAGTTACAACTCTCCTTCTTAAAAGCATTTAAATCCCTCTCTGCCCCTGGGAAAGACCATATTTTAAATTTTTATTAGCCCACACTTTAATTAAGAGTTAATACCAACACTATTAACCATCAGTCAACACATGATTATTAGTGAACATCATTAGTTAACACGGAAACAGGAATTCTCTGGGTGATAGAATGGAGCACAGGACAGGCAAGGAGTGGGGAGGAGGGACTAGGAAAAAGGAAAAGGAGAAGCAGCAAGGAGAGCACCAAAGCAGAAGCAAGGCTTGTCAAATGGGACTTCATTTGCATCCCAGCTATACTTCCCTGTGACCTTGTGCTATTCACTTAATCTCTCTAGGTCTTGGACTCCTTGCTTTAAAAAATGTGGATAACACCCACCTAAGATGACCAATATGAAGAACCACTCAAAAGTGCTTTCTAAACTTTAAAGCACCATAGAAGTCAAAATATTACAAATTTTGGTGTCTTCACAATTTCGCTTATGGCTTCGCTGCCTCTATAACAACTAGAGTCACTATCGTTACCTTTTATTAGTCATTCATTACTTTTATTAACTTTTGCTAATCGTCATTACGCCGATCACGTTGACGACAGTGGTAAGTAACACAGATGACGACTCTGGTGCTGAAACCCAAACTATTTCACACAGACCACATACTGGGAACTAAGGATAGAGAAGAAATCGGATAGAGTTCTGCCTTGGAGTTGTTCATTTTAGCTGAGAACTCAAGTTGTTCATTGCTGCTCCATATGATCACCTTTAAGTGGAGGCCTCCCTGCTCTCTTACTGGGAGAGGGTGCAGTGTAGCCTGGACTTTGACACAGATCAGCAAGCCACGTTATCTCTGCACCTCTGTTACCTCACTTGTAAAAGGGATAATGCCACCTTTTCCTCAGCATTGTACTGGACAGTGTAATTCCAAAGTCTCCAGTTGACTCGGTGCATCCGGCAGCTTCCAGTGAACCCCAGGAGGAGGCCTTCCTAACTCACTTATTTACTCCTAACAACTGATAACTTAAAGGGCATTCATCCTGTCAGGCCTTTGGCGATCCGTACTCCAAATCCCCTCACTGGACAGGTGGGAGAGCTCAGGCCAACAGAGGGGGACAGCTTGCTTATATAAGGGCACTCGACAGGCCAAGATCCAGGTCGCCTCAGTTCCCTTCGGGACTCCGGGACTCCGGCGACCCACACACCCCTCTCTAGAGAGGAGAGTTGCCCCAGGCTCAGTTCCCTTTCATCTCTAAAATGGTAACTCTGAGGCTTAGGTTTGGCTTCACTCGAAGGGAAACAAAAATAGACCAGCCAAGAATCCTCCCTGGCCAGGTCTGAGATCCCAGCCGACTGCGTGGCTTTGACTCAATATCCTCCCCCAGACTGGATTTCCTCGGACCCCACGGTGCCGCCGAGCCTGTCCCCACACGCACGCTTCCCCCACTTTTCGGGGATGGTTGCAGTGTCGCAGCCCCCCCCCCCCCCCCCCGCTCACCTCCGCGGGACTCCGGCTCCTCCATCTCTCTCGGGGCGCAGCTGGGCGCCGGGCGGCCCTCAGGTCTCAGGCACCGAAGCGCGGGAGAACCACCGAGGCTGAGGAGACGGAGGCGGTGGGGGGAGGGGGGTGCAGAGAACGACCGCAGAGGACTCGCAAGCAAGCCACGGAAACTGAAGACACAGGCGACAAGACCACAGGGAAGGAGACGGACAGACCCCGCGACGCCCAGACTGACGGGCCGGGAGGCGGGGGCGGGGACGCCCGGAGGCGGCAGCCGGCCGGCCGTTGGCCCCGCCCCAGATTCAGCCCCGCCCCGGGACGCACGCGCCCGAGGCCCCGCCCCCTCGCCGCTCGACTCGGCCGCGCGGTCTCCTGCCTGTAGCAGCGTTCCGGACGCGGCCTGGCTGGCACCTGCCCCTTCCCCTCCGACCACCGCTCGCTCCAGCCCAGCCCCGAGTTTGGTTCAGGCCCCGGGCCTACCGTGGCTCCGCTCCGTTTTCTCCCCCCCCCCCCCGCCCGTCCCTACCCTCGGTCCCCTCGCCCCAAGCTCGTATCTTTTGGGTTGCCTCTCAGTGGGTAGGTATCACCGCCTAAAATTTCCCCGGACAGCCTGGCAGCAAGGCAAAAGTTCCGGCCCGCAAGAGAGGACTCCACAAAACGGACCGGAGATCCAGAGCATTGAACATCCGCCCTTAAAAAAATAAAAATCATGCATATAATTTTAAATGTGTGTGTGCATGATTATATATTGAGAAAATAATAATATTACAACTCATTGATTAAAAACCCATGAGTTCATGTTGATATATGTGAATACATGAGTGGAGGAGGGAGGACAGCTCTTTCTACAGTAGAATTCTAATAAATGCAGATTGTGCACAGACTGAACACAATATGGTTTATTCTGAACACCTGCTTTTCTTCTGGGAGTCTGGAATTTGGGGGCATGCTAGGCAGAGGGTGCTCACATACCAGCCCTCAATAAAACTGAGTGCTGAGTCTCTAATGGATTCACTATGAAGAAACAAGAAACGTGGTACACATGCTGCATTTTCCTTGCTGGGGAAAAGTGTGGTTAGCCCAAAGCCTAATGAGGGAGAAGCAGAAGAAATAGTACACATGGATCCTTCAGACTCCGCTTGGGTCTTTTTCTTATGATCCAATGTGTCCTTACTATATTGCTGTAATAAACCTTAGCTGTGAGCGCAACTCTAATGCTGAGTCCTAGGAGTCCTTCTAGTGGGTGTGAATCTAGGGAGTAGTCTTGGGAACCCTTAACCAAATACCATATATAGTTTAAAACACATAAAACAATACCATATATTGTTAATGGACAGACATAACGACAATGCATAGGAATAATAAATACTAAATTCAGGGTAGTAGTTAATTAACTTCTTAGAGCGCAGGGAGTAGAACATATCAAGGATACCCAAGAAACTTCAATTGTATTGGTAATTTATCTTAAGGTGGTTCATTTTATTCTTCTTTAAACCTTACTATTTCTAAAATATTTCAGGTTTTATTTAAAAAAAATTTTTAATCTATTTTCAAAGATTAGTTCATACAAAGTCCTAGGGTTCTTCATCCAGACTTCTCCAAAGTCACAATCACCAACTCTAAATCACCAGGTCAATTTTAGAAAAATATCTAAAACCAAATTTTTCTCAATTCTTCTTTGGCTGATGATCTCAGTCTTATGCCTGAAACAGCGAGTAGGTTTAAATCCTGACTTTCTACTCCTTAGCTCAGTGACCTTGGCAAGTTACTTAACTTCTGTGTCTTAGTTCCTCATCTAAAATGGACACCTTTGGCACTAATCCTCATCCATGACTCAGATCAAACAGGTTTCACTTCCTATATGAGAACCTCCCAGGTTTCCATGCTGTAACAGTTACTCCTCATCCAGCCTTCACAGCAACTTATACAGATATCTTCTGATAAATTTTCTATTGGCCACTCTGATTAATCTAACAAAAGCGGGACTGAATCCATTCTAATGGTTTCATACATTTAATTAGCATACTATCAACAGAACTCCAAGCAACAGAGACCAATTTGCAGAATTGGTCAGGGCCAGGACTCAACTAGCTAGAAAAACGACATCCAGAAAAAAACCCAACTATAAGCCCTCAAGGTCTGCCTTAGAAACCCAGGTAGCATTCTCTAATTTCTCTATTGGCTTTATACCTAGCCTGAGGGATCACTCCAGGTACAGAGGGATGTATCGGTAATTCGAGACCTACCTTGGCCCACAAAGATATTGAGGGCCATTCTATCATCCATAACCACATTGGCCAGTGAGTTGAGGCTCGTCTAATTGCCTTCAGCTAAAGCCAGGGATGAATTTCATATCAACATTTCAAGTATGACGACTCTCAAAATAGGGATAGATTCTTGCAGAATGTGCATAAATAAAACAGCCACCCCTCCAGGAAGCTCCTCTAGGTAACCTAAGCTAGCCTCATTTTGGAGTAATCTCCACAGTCATCTGAGGGCTACATGATCTAATGGTGATGCTTCCTTAAACACTTGAAGGTTGCTTATGACCCTCTCTATTGTGCAAGGGACTATGTTTTCAGGGAGGGGAGCAAGTTAATGCCTGGCTTCCACATAGAAAGTACAGTCCTAAGGGCATATGTGACATTCGTTTACAATTGTAGGGGCCTCCAAAGTGGGACCTACATCATTCAGGGAACAGAGGTTGACAGTGTCACTAATGAAGTCTCCCAGGCACCTGATAGGCTTCAGAGTTCCCATTCACTTAGAATAATTGAAACCAGTCCTTATTTTTGGAAAGGTTGTCTGATGGCAGTTGGTACAAACTGTCCCACATGTCCACACCACAGCCAGGTGGCATTTGTCCACCCCATAGGAAAATAGAGCAATAGCTACAAGAATGGGGGTTAAGGAGCATTAGAGCTTATGACAAGTGCTTTGCAGGAGAGGTATAGGAGCTGAAAAGTGCACCTGATGTTTCTGATAGACTTCTCAGTAGGTTAATGACTAAATTATAGTAAGCCATCTAGTAGGGGAATGTCAAACCCAGTAGTCAATTTTTAAAAAAATTTTAAAAAGATTTATTCACTCGAGAGAGAGAGAGAGAAAGAGAAAGAGAGAGGGAGGCAAAGACACAGGCGGAAGGAGAAGCAGGCTCCATGCAGGGAGCCTGACATGGCACTCGATCCTGGGACTCGACCCTGGGACTCCAGGATCACGCCCTGGGCCGAAGGCAGGTGCTAAACTGCTGAGCCACCCAGGGATCCCCCAGTCAGTCAATTTTAAGGAGTTTGCCATAGTTTGGGAGAGTTGCATTAGGCCATTTTCCTTTGAGAAGGCTCCAAGAGTGACTTTTTCCAAATGTCATAATCTACAACCATGTCAAACCAACAAGAGAATATAGGTATCTGAACCAGAACTGAATGAGAATACTTTAGCCTCCTTTTGGCTAGGCTGCCACCTGGAATTTGCAGCAAAAAGACTGGCCTGTGTATGTTGTTAGGGCAAAGATAACATCATGCCTAGCAAAGATCAGTGTACAATACTGTATTTTCAGAATAAATCTACTTTCCAGTCCCTCTCATTCTGATCATTGCACCATAAGCTGCTATGATAATTTTACATGTCAATTTCCCTGGGATACAAGGTCCCCAGATATTTGGTTAAACATCATTTCGGTTACATCTTAGAGTGTTCCTTGATGAAATTACAATTTGACTCAGTAAACTGCCCTGTCCAATATGTTGGAGATCTGAATAGAACAAAGGTTGGGGTAAGGGAGAATTGATTCTGTCTTCAAGCTAGGACATGAGTATTTCTGCTTGTAGACTGGAACTTATACCATTAGGCCTTGGGATTCAGAATGGGTTTCCAGCTTGCTAATGGTAGATTATGGAACTTTTCAGCCACTATAATCATGTGAGCCATTTCCTTATAAATACATCTCTTTATATATATACAAATATTGGTTCTTCTTTTTCTGGAGAATTTTAGTACACAGTAAAGAGGAAGTGGCTGCTTTCTGGGGACAGTCATATTCAGTGGCCAAACTGCCTTACAGAGGTGTATTGTCCTGGATGAGGTAAGAGAAGTAGAAATGAGTAGGCAGTCCCAACATTCAACAATAGTTGATGCCTGTCGATCCAGGAGTAGGTCCCTCAATGTACCTTGACTATCAGCCCTCTGCTCAGTGGTTTTTGCAATAAAAGACTCACCACTGTCAGATTATATGTGCTCAAAAAAAAAAAAAAAACCACACACGAGACAGATTGGTTTCAAAATCAAAACAGTGTAGTTGGAGTTGGCTGATTGACTAGAAGAGCAACACTGTAACCTAAAAAGTATCAATGGTGTTGAGGCAGTACTGATAACAAGAAGGAACCAAAGGTCTGATAGAGTCAGTCAGAAGCAGGTGGAGGCCATGTCTGCTATGTGATTATACTCATGGCTGGACAAAGACTTTTAACAGGAGTCATAAGCCTGGCATGTAGTGGTAGCCTCTGCATCAGAAGCACATATCTTTTATCTGTGCCCAGGCTATGATGGTGCATGTCTGCTATGATGATGACACCAGGCAATGATGATAGCAATTTGAATAGTTACAGGCTCCATCAGTAGCTTGATTCTAGTTGGTCTCATCAGAGAACAAGCCTCCATGATGGGCATCTACATGAGTGACCCAGACAGTTCAATTAATAGCTGCAATTCATTTTTAGTTTGTGGCCCCCAAGAAGACTGTCTTTAATCTGACAGTGTCTGCCAAGTGACAGACCAGAAGACTAGGCCATTGGCAAGAGCCTGAGTTAAATGTAGCATGTCTGATCCCTAGGGATTGTGCAGAACAAGGGTAACAGTTTTCAATTCAGTCCATTGTGCCGATCAGCCTTTACTGTTGTCAGTTTCCAGAATCATCACTTGACAATAACAGCTCTTAACTTAGCTGGACCATCAGTGAACCAGACCCAGACATTTAATTAGGGAAGTCTCTGTGAATCAAGGGCCTTATTGAGCTGTGTCTTTGCTTCAGGCAACTGAGTGGGGAATACAGCTCTTCCAAAGGAGTGACTATCACTTCTTCATGTAAAACTAAGATGGATGGCTGGCTGCATCATTTCCATTTGACTAGAGAAGGCTGCAGCATTTTTTGTTAGTTTCTCATCTAAATTCACATAATCCAAAATGGGAATGTTAGGCCACTTACCAGGCTTCCCTGGGTCGGATATTGTTTCAGCAATAGCTTAGTAGTAAGTCT